TGTTTTCCAAAGTGACTACATCATTTTACATTCTCAGCAGTGAACAAGGATTCCAGTTTCTCCTCATTCTTTACATTTGTTATTTTGTCTTTTTGATTCTAGCCATTTTAGTGGGATTAAAGTGATATTTCATTGTGGATGTTTTAAAGCAATTTTTAAAATACATTTTTTCTTGGTTTCAGAGATGAAAGGAGAGGGAGAGAGAGATGGAAACATTAGTGATGAGAGAGAATCATTGATCAGCTGCCTCCTGCCTGCTGGGGACTGAGCCCACAACCCGAGCATATAACCTGACTGGGAATCAAAACTGTGACCTCCTGGTTCATAGTTTGAATCTCAACCACTGAGCCACGCTGGCTTGGCTAAAGTATTTTTTATTAAAGTATAGTTGGTACACAATATTATTAGTTTCAACATAGTGATTCGATATTTTTATATACATTGTGGTATGCTCAGCACACTAAGTCAAGTAAAGTTGCAAAGTTAATCACACTATTGTTGACTGTATTGCCTTTCACTATTTTCACCCATCCCTCCACCTTCCTCCCCTCTGGCAACCATCAGTTGTTCTTTGTTTCTATGAATCTAATTGTGTTTTATTTTCTTTCTTTTTTTTTTGATTTTCTAAAAAACCCCCACATATTAGTGAAATCATGTGGTATTTTTCTTTGTCTGACTTATTTCACTTAGAACAATACCCTCTCGATCCATGTTGTTGTGGATGGCAATATTTTGTTTTTATTGCTGATCATGGTAGTGTTGATTTCCATTTCCCTGGTTGCTAATTGAACTCAGTTTTAGACATGTTTATTTTTGTTACCTGAAAGCATATAGGTGGATATGTTAAATAGGCTGTTTGGACTTTAATTTGGAGCTTAGAGAAAGAGCTGAGTAGTTGTAGGTTGGGTGAAATTGGCCATTGTGTGGATGGAACAAAGCAGAGAGTATGTGAAAACTGAGAAAGAAAATGGCTGAAGTCCAAAGCCTGAGGAACATTAGTAATTAAAGGACAGGAGATGAAACAGAGCCTGCAGAGGAGACAGAGAGGGATGTGGGAAACCAGGAGAATGTGGAAACTGATGAAATAGTATTTTAAGTTGGAAGAAAGGGACAATAATATAAAACATTGTTGAGGATTCAATAAAATTAAATAAAATGGATGAAAAGTGACCTTCAGATTTTGTAATAGGTAAGTCATTTCAATAGGTGAACAAAGGATGAGGCCAGATTAAAATAAATTCAGGGGTGATTGAGAGGTAAAGAGGAGGGCTCAACAAATGTAGACACAGTTTTAAAGAAGTTTCTGAAGGGGAAGAGATAAGTTGGGTGGGGTCAAGAGATTTCATTTCATATGAGATGGAAGATGTCATAAATATTAGAGGAATACTCAGACTAGTAATCTTCACAAGAAGGCAGAAGGCAGTGAGATCCTGAGCCTATTTTATAATAGGGAGTGATGGAGAAATGTGTCTTGAGGGCAGGGGGTTGATGATTTCTTCGGCTTCTATTTTCCCTGTGAAGTTAGAAATGAGGCTGTCTGCACTGAAGGACATAGAAGGTGATATGTTCAAAGAAAAGAGTGGAGAAGGTTTGAAATAGACACTGTGGAGAATGGGAAAGAAAAAGCCAACCATGAAAATATAAATAATATTTCTAGACTGCATTAGAAATGTGAGACAATACATTCACAATGGTACTGCTTTTCATGGTGTGTGATTTTTCTCCAGTAGTATTTAGCAGTGTACCACTGGGGTAGGGAAGGCAGTTAGTGCTTTAGTTCAGGGTTTGGGTCTTTTAGCCCAACATAACAGAATGGAGAATATAGGTAAAAAAGTGGACTGTTAAGTTGAGTGGAGCATGGAATTTAAGCTGGATTGGATAGGGGGTGAATTCGGTATAATACTGTAATTTTGGACCCCAAATTCCTTTTTTTTTTTTTTACACATAGGAATTTTTATAAATGTATATATGTAGAAAGCATAACAATAAAATGTATACATTCAAAATAAAAGAATAAAAACTAAATCAAAAAGTATATTAAGAGAATAATGCCTTGTGGCCACATTCAAGGATAATTCAATTTAGAAAACATATTAAAATCATTAAATATACTATAAAAACTAATTAAAAGTAAATAATGTTATAAGTATATGTTCTTAAAAGAGGCATTAATAACATTTAGAAACCGTTCTTAATATAAGGAACTTTTTTTTTTCATTTTTGTTTTTTTAAAAATCTTTATTGTTCAGATTATTACATTTTTTCCTCTTTTTTCACCCCATAGCTCCCCTCTACCCGCTTCCCAGCCCACCCCAGGCCCTCACCCGAACACCCCCCACTGTCCCCATCCATAGGTGTAAGATCTTTCTTTATCCAATCTCTTCCTGCACAC